CAACTCACCTCGTTCTCCCCTATAGTAGCTTTTTAGGGACCTGTTAAGATGAGCTATAGATCTCCGTACCTATCGAACAGGAGCAGGCAGACTTCACATTCTGAAGCCACCCGGCGGCGAACGTCCGGCGTCGATCGGGGCGAGCGTCTGCACCGGCACCAGCCCCGGCAGCAGTGCGATGGTATATCCAAAAGAAACTGTGAAAGGAGACATACCTACAGTCGGTGTATTTTAATGACACTTTTTGAAAAAAAAACTTCTTCCCTACCTTGTATATCCAACACAACCCAGAGGAACCCAGCGGATAAAATATTAACATAATATTTTCACGTATCTAATCATCAAAACTTTTCATATTATAGAACAAAAGCATTGACTATCGTCAAATACGCATTCCATTATTAAAATAACACCTACAAAGCACAAATCTTCACTAATTACCTATCTTTAGGGCACATCTCTCTTCGGAGATGTGCTCTCACATCTCCCTCATCTCTCACGGTACCTTATATGCCTATTTCCTCGCGACACACAATTGCGCTTGTGGTCATTGATCAATAATAAATATTAATAAGGTAAGTATATGAACATACTTACTATTGGCCCCGGAATCGGAGTTTCAGTTTCTGCACACCAAGTCCATAAAATGCTGCACACGCGAGCGACGCACTTTCACCACCAAGCAACAGAATTCAACTGAAATAATGGCAGACGCGCGCGAAACGTGCGCGGCGGTGCCACATCGGCTCAACCAATCAGCGAGCTGGAAGCCTACTCACGGCTAGATTACTAACCACATACTCATGATCCTGAGCATAAATACCAAGCATCGATGAGTACTGTCTCACATCATCGCAGGAGCTAAGAACAAACTAAGGCATTGTTGGTAAATACGTTAGTTTACCTGAGTATGGCATGAGTCTTATCCTGAATAAAAGGGTTAGTTTCCATAGGGTGGTAAAATTTTTTCTCAGTGCAGACCTGTCACCAAATAATCTTTCTGAAAAGTGGACTAATCGCATAGCCTCGGACACAGAAATAAACATCCAGCATGCGAAGCGTCTCGAACCGGGCCCCTCACTACCGGTCAGTTTGACAGTCTAGCACTCCTACGCTGAGCTACACCGGATGGTGGCCACGGCCGGGGCGGTATATAGGGCCTTGGCCGGGGCAAAGTCTGGCCGGGCGGGCGGCGGGGCCGGGAGGTCGGCAGCAAAGTCAATGAATGTTTTTGTGGTTTCGGGCGCCGGTCGCTCTAGGTTGGTGGAATGATGATGGATCATTGGCAAAACTTTCAATGTGGAGTCCCGGTTCGAGCCTCATCGGGGCTCCGGCTACTTTTCCGAGTTAGGATCTGGTTTGATTTTAGTGGTTGCGAGCCATTTATACGGTTTTATATCTACATGTCGATTGTCGATTGATTGATTGATTCATTCATTCGTTCATTTAATACATGTCGACATTTAGCATACGAATTGACATCCAGGATCAATCCGATCAAGCTACCATTTTCATAAGCGTATTGCCTAAATATCATGCATATATGTGGCACAAGACCTATGGTTGCCTCGATACCGTGCCAAATCACGTTTTGCACAATGCGCAAGTAAATTATATTCGCTGGGTCTTCCGTGCATTGTGCTTATCAAAAACAGGAATGCAGTTGTTAAAGGGACCCTCCCACCTTCAAAAAAGTTAATGAATTGGCATGAAAGTGATGTCCCTTGGTTCAGAAAGAGCGAAAACGAATATCTACCAAATTTCACCGAAAAATATTCACTGGTTTTCAAGATATTAGGCTTTTACTTTTGTTTACTTTTTGGGATCTCCCCTGTTACTAGCGACTTTATTTGGAAGCAATAATTTGGCAGCCTTTAAGTGCGGCAGACGTTGCGCGCAAAGCAGCGTATGCCACCACGTGTTAACGATGGTTTTAGTCTAAGATTTAAAAATCGTTAGATCTCCGCTGACGTCACAAATTCTAGGGGGGCATTCCGATGCATTAGCCCCTTAGAATCCGAAAACTGCAAGTTTGAAATTCCATATCTTCGAATTAAAGCATTTTTCGATGTTGTGAGTGCCCAAACCGGTATTTGCAGGCCATGGCCACCAATTTGGCTATCTCAACTCAAAACTAATGTTAAGGTTGGGAGTGTCCCTTTAAGCGACGCAAAATGTGCAATGCAGCAAGTGACCACACACACCCGCCCAGCCCCCACGGTCCACCAACACGCCCCACACCACTCGCCAGCCCACGCCAACCACCGAGACGAGCCCCTCCCCCCGCGCTGGTCTGACGCAACAGCTGGTCTACAAAGCGCTTCACCCGGCGACCCGAGCCGATGTCAAACGGCGTGGGTAGACTGTGCCGCTTCACTCTCGGGTCATGCGGCACAGCCTACCGGTACCAGGCGGCTGCTGCCAATGCTGAGCCATAGGAACCCGCAGAGGTGAATAAAACTCAAAAGCTGTCACCTACGCGATGTCTAGCTGTCACGAATTTTTTGCACGTCATCTTGAAACAGTAGGTACCCTATTGTTTACGTTTTCTTATCACTTTTGATTTGAAGGCCTAAAAAATGAAGATGAGGCTAGAATGATAGAAAGAAAGTGACCTTACAAATTTCGGCCTCTGGGCATTACAACGCATCACCACATTTCAGTGACACAACAAAAAATAGATCACTATCATCCAACTTACCTATAGGTCTGATCGACTTCCTAGCTCGTCCTGGCTTCCTGATCTGCAGTTCAATCAGCACTCACGAAAGGATTGTCAGTTGTCACTGTCCACTGATTCACTTGCCTTTGCTCCAGTAGTCAGAACAAATTATCAACGCTCCTACCAAGTTTCTGGGACCGATGGTCATGGACCTCACCCCAGTTGTGGCCCAGATGTGACGTCCCCCGTCCCAGTCGCCCGGTCCTTACTCCAGCGGCGGCCAAGGCCGCGCCGGTCCCCGCCACCGCTCAACCGGCGACGAGCGGGGACGAGCTGTCGCGCTGTCGCCGTTTTTCCTGCGTTGTCTATGGCGCTTCACAACGCACCGGCTGTCGCACCGGCGGGATTTTTCAGCCCCAGCTGTCTACAAAGAGATGACGCTGTTAAATTTTTGTGCCGTGGTCCATAGTGGCCCTCTGTGGGAAGACAGCTCTGATTTTAGCGGAAACGGCCTAGTTATCAATTTTAGATGCATCAACTGAGATGCTCGAATCTGTCTATTTATTCCTATGGCTGACACCTACGCACGCAGGCGAGTAGCAGGTTTTTTTCACCTCTGGGAACCCGGTGGATAAAGAGTAGGGGACCATCAACCTGTACACGATTGTACAGCGGCTGGGGCTGAAGTACCACGTAGAGGTGCGGCACGACTGATCCGGCTGAAGTCCGGCCGTGTGCAGGCGAGCTGCGGTATCGTGTGTCAGCTCCAGTGCAGCCCCAGACCTCGCCCGTACTTCGGCCGGAGCAAGAATGCCGGAGCTAGTCAGAGTTAACCCCCGCCGGCCGATGGGGCGCCGCCCCTCCCCCCCCAAAGTTTTTTTTCGCTATAGCTCCGAACACGTTGGCGATAGAGAGCTGAAACTTGGCATACCTGACCTTTGATTCAAGCCAGATCTTTTGACACCAATCGCATTTTTGGGTCAGGTCAGGTCACTGACCTATGACGTCATAAGTGAGCCTCTGCAGTCTGCACGGTCTTCCTATTCTAGCCGGCAGGTGCGTCTCGTAGGTACATACGTCAAAGGGGAAAAATGAAAACTGCTATTCTGGCGCCGGGAACGATCTCCAACTATCTCAACCACACAGAATAGTGATTTGATGCACTCCTTGCAAGGTTAGATGCGTCACTTTTGCAATGTTGACCTTGCGTGACGTCATTTATGACGTCATCAAGGTCATATTAGTTTTTCGTCAATAACTCCCGATCAAATTGAGCTAGCGTGTCGGGAAAGCCACCAATGGACTCAGGAAGACCTGCCGAATCGAATAATATCCGACATGACCTCTTCCGACCAACTTCGTGACCTGGGGATGCTGACCTGACCTTGACCTGAGGTCAACACCCTAAATTGACCTGACCCAAACAAAAAGTATGTCATTCGACGCGCCTGAGCGAGGCGAACACGATGCTGCCAAAATAGCGGCTCTGCGGCCGTTTTTTGCGAAGTTATTCACCAAAAACTGAACCGTACCTTGGGGCGCACTTGACCTGACCTCAAAGGTCACCGATTGACCTAGGACCTTAAAATCGGGTACCAATCTCTGCGTCTCTTAATTAACGGCACACACACTCGTTTTTTTCCGCGACGCGCTAGCTCCACCACTCAGGGGCGAAACGGCGAGGGGGTCCGGGGTCGTACCCACCGCTCCCCCCTCGGCCGGCGCGCCGCGCGTATGTAGAAAACCAATAGGTCCGGCGGGGGTTAAACCAGATGCCCAGACCAAACTATAAGCCCAGACTTATTTTGCTGGCTGGGATTGTGTGCAAGTTTCAGCTTGATCTGAGGTGTCCCCGGCCCAATCTGTGCTGAAACAGGCTGTATGGGCTGTCTTGATGGACATTTTTTGTCCCACGTATTTTTGCGATGCGTGCTATGTCCGCAATCCTTTGGAGGTATGGAAAATGGAAATCTATTATTGTAAATGGTGGCGCCCAACTAGGAAGTAGTGCTATAGTCAAATATTTACTCAACAGATGACGCTACGAATCCGCGCGAAAATCTGTCTGCACTATGACCATTACGCAGTACTGGCATGTTGATATGTTCAGTGAAAGAATTACAGCTGATTATCTAGTTTTGGTATATGACGTCATATTTTCGGCTGCGGCCTTGTCGTTCCTGTAAAATAATTTATCTTAAGCCAATTACATTGCTATTTAGTGGTAATTGATAACAAATTTCAGTCTTTGAAAGTAAATATTTGATATTTTCGAAGAAACCACTTTATTTTTCAGAAAAGTGTTCGGATATATTTACATATCAGCTGACGAAAAATCACATTCTAACTTATCTACCAAAACGGCGCGAGAGCGATGAAACGCAGCGAAGAAAATTTGCGGGGAGTGTGGCCTCGTGACATTTTCTGGCGCGGATGGCTCTCTTGCTTATTTTGGTGATAATAGCAGTATGATACTAGATATTACGTGATTTTTTTTTTGTATTATCAAGCTGGTAATGTTAAGTTGAAGTCGATTCTGTCCCTTAAGTCCTCATGGTGGCTGGAGAGAGAGGTTGGTAAGCTCAGGCGCGCCGTTAATGCTATTGTGCTATAGCTAAACCATTACGCATTGATTCAGATCGCGCTTTTGCTAATTTATAATTTTTTTTTTTTAAAGCTGATTGTGTACTTACTTAAAGGGACCCTCCCACCTTAACATTAGTTTTGAGTTGAGATAGCCAAGTTTGCGGCCAGGCTCAGAAACCACCATTTATCCTGGTCGCAACCCCCGCAGCTTTATGGTGTTCAAGAAATTTCTTCCCTTTACTTGCAGGGTGGGACCAGCGTGGTCCCTATCTCTTAACCATTACGGGAATCTGATGACGTCATTAGGCTTTCGAACGTCCGTTAAATGTTTGACTAAAACGTTTTGTAGCACGCGGTGGTATATGCTGCTTTGCGCGCAACAAATGCCGCACTTTCAAATAAAGTCGCTAGGAACAGCGAAGATCCCAAAAAGTAAACAAAAGTAAAAGTCTAATATCTTGAAAACCGGTGAATATTTTTCGATGAAATTTGGTAGATATTCGTTTTTGCTCTTTCTGAACCGAGCGACATCACTTTCATGCCAATTCATTAACTTTTTTGAAGGTGGGAGGGTCCCTTTAAATGTGAATGTGAATGTGACATGATCAACGATTGTTTGTTTCTTGTGTACTTAATTTCTGGAGAGATTGACATCACAGGCCAGTGTTCTAGACAACTAAAACTGCTGGCTGTGGTATTTGTTGCCAAAAAGTTGCCCATGGATTTCACCAGAGCTCTGTTCGGTCGCTGTTTTTATATCAGCGCGCTGTCCGTTCTCATATAAGGAAGTTATTGCTGGTGCTTCTTGGCCTCTCATTAGTATAACGAATAGACCACTTGAATTCCTTTAATGAGGAGCCAAGAAGTAGCTGCATGCTCGCAGCCTGCTGATAAAAAACTGCAACCGAACAGCGCCCAGGGCCCTGTTTAAGTGTGCAGCAGCCGCAGCTCCACTCTCCAGTGGTGAAAAAATGCTGGGTTTAGCTAGAGGTCAATCAGGTGACAAATCAGTTTCCTCTGCCCTTACTCAGATTGGCATTTAGCTATGCTGAAACCCTCTTTTTTACCTCTGGAGCTGCCATGGCCGCAGACACTTGAATAGGACCCAGTTCTGCAAACAGGAATTATTTCTAATAAAAGTTATGTCAGCCAGCTCATCTTCTATGGTTTCTTATCAGCAGCTATTTTTGTGTTGCTGGCCTGAGACATATACAATTAAAGTAACAATGGGAGCACACTCCTGCCTGATCAGTTGTCGATCCTGAACTTAGAGGCATCTGAATCTAGACTGGAACACTCAATTTGGGTAACAGGTGAACATGACATATTGGTTTTAAAAATTGCCCCCATGACCCCCTTTACAACCCTGAGATTTAAGGTCTTGGAGATTTACCTTTAAAAGATTATTTGATAGCTTAATTTAAAAAAAAAAATCATGTAAATAAGGTGTGCTATGGTGGCTGAAAATGGTTAATATATGCAAAATTTGACCTTTGATCAATGATGTGTCCTGGTGACCTGACCTTTGCCCTGACATACAAATTAACAGCCATGCTCTTTGATGCTCTTCCAAACTGCCTAAGGTTAAACAAGAAGCTTTCCATTAAGAATATCACATGAAGGATAAGCTCAAAGCTTAGATGAATATTTTTGGAGAGAAAAATGTTGAAATGATTCTCTTCAAAGCTTGAATACCCTTGCTCTTCACCAGGTCAGAATAAGATCAGTAGGTTATCAAGAAGTTCTGTATAGTTCTTAAATCTTACATTTTTGCTCTTTTTCCAGTGGAGATGCAGCCACCTCCTGTACCAATGGACCAGCAATTCATTGAAGGATGGGACAAAGCTCCAAACCTTCTGGGAGAGGGTGCATTTGGAGAGTAAGTACCCATCAGTTTTATGTACTACTTACTGTATGTGTAGACACTAGTCTTTAGTAGAAGTACCCATCTGACATACCTATATGGAGTTCAGAAAAGTATATTATAAAAAATGGAAGTACCATGTAAATAATAAATATGGAGTAAAGTATTGTCTTTACTGTGTTAACAACATGCTTGTACAAGTAATTTTGTTGCCTTGTTACAGGGTTTTCTTTGGTGTATAATATAAATTGGGAATATTTCTAGCTAGTCTGGATGGTTCAATGGGTGGCTTGAAGCAGTGATGCCGTGCCGAGTCAAAGTGCCCTAATAAAGAGGCTTTATTTTTTGGTAAATAGCTTTGCCAAGAATGGTCGCAGAGGTCACTCAGGTCACAAAGTTGGTCGGAGGTCATATCACATATTATTCGATTCGACATGTCTTGCTGAGTCCATTGGTGGCATTTCCGACTCGCTAGCCCAGTTCAATCGGTAACTATTGACGAAAATTGCTATGACCCTAGTGACATTATCGATGCAAAAATGAAGCATCTGACCTTGCAAGGAGTGTACCTATGAAATCACAGTTCCATCTGCTTTAGGTAGTATTAGATCATTCCTGGCACATAAATAACAGTTTTAATATTTCCCAACATATAATGGTACCTAAGGTCACGTGACAGACCTGACCTCTGGTGACCCTTAACCCTCGCCGGCACAGGCCATTTTGAGTCCTTCGACGGCACAAGGGGGGGGGGGGGGTTGGTACGACCCCCCTCGCGTTTGGCCCCTGATGGAGCTAGAGCTTCGCGGAAAAAACGAGCGTGTTGCCCGTCACGAGAGGAAGCCAATGATACCCAATTTTAAGGTCCTGGGTCATCGGTTGACCTTCCAGGTCAGGTCAATGACCCAAAAATCGGGAATATCGGGACCTGTTAGAAAGTCGTAAAGCGTGGCTGCTAAGGGGGTTTCCGGGGTGCTGATCACGAATATCGTGTTAGTTTTGATCACAGATGATGTCGTTAAGCGTTTAGACCAGGTCGGGTCAGGTCAGGTCAGGTCAACCGGTAGAGGTCGTGACGGGTATTCGTAGTACCTGTCATCCGCCTCTGACAGCTTCGTAACATGTTACAAAGGCACCAAAACTACTTCGTAAATGTTCAAATGGTTGCTAAATTCGGATTCAGCTCCAAAAACTAGCCTAGAAACATGTAAAACTCGAAAAAGTGAACCGAGATCACCAAAGGTCAATGACCTGACCTGACCTTCAGGTGACCTTGACACCCACCGTAATGCATGGGAGCAACATCAAATCACATGTTTGAACGTTTGAAACCACGAAGAGCTGGGGCATTCCACGATAGATCGTACCAGGCCCGTCACCCTCATCTCTCAGATTCTAATGAAAATCGGTCCTAGGGGTAATCATAGGCTCCAAAGACGCCTGGCAAAATATCAGACTTCTCAGATCAAAACTTTTTGAGTTATATTGCATTACATTTTTTTACCTTCGGTTTGTAACGGTGAGTTTGATGGCCTATAACTCAAGAACGGGTTAAGCAACCAACAAACAGTAAACAACACTAAGCTTGCGATGAATCAAAAATTAATATCACTATTTAAAAATTCCAAAGAAAAATTTTCATTGTTGAGCAAAAAAGTTAATCTTTTTTCATTTGCCTCTAATGACTTTTGGGACCAAAATTTTTCACATTTTTATTTTTTCAAAATAAACTTCATGTCATTGCAAATCGACATGCAAAAAATTAGAAAGGTGTTCTTTCTATAAGTTCCTCATTTTCCCGCAAACAAAATGGGTTTCGGAGGGGTTGATACGACCCCAGCACGCCGTTTCGCTTCTAATAGAGCTAGAGCCTCGCGGAAAAAACGAGCGTGTGTGCCATTACAAGTCGCAGCGATTGGTACCCGATTTTAAGGTCTCAGGTTAACCGGTAGGGTCTGAGGTCAGGTCAAGTGACTGAAGTTACGGGTTCGGTTTTTAGTAAATAACTTCGCAAAAAATGGCCGCAGAGCCGCGATTTTAGCATCATTGTGTTCGCCTAGCTCAGGCGCATCGAATGGTATACTTTTTGCTAGGGTGAGGTCAACTTAAGTAGTTGACCTCGGGTCAAGGTCAGGTCAGAGCCCCTCAGGTCACGAAGCTGGACAAAGGGTATCATATGGCATATCATTCGATTCGGAAGGTCTTCCCGAGTCCATTGGTGGCTTTCCTGACTCTCTAGCTCCATTTGATCGGGAGTTATTGATGAAAAACTCGTACGACCCTAGTGACGTCATAAATGACATCACGCAAGGCTAACAATGCAAAAGTGAAGCATTGGACTTTGCAAAGAGTGCATGAAATCACGATACCATGTACGTGAGATAGTTTTAGATCATTCTCGGCGCCAAAATAACAGTTTTTTATATTTCCCCATTGACTTACAACAGTGATGTCACGTGACCGACCTGACCTTATGTAACCGTAAAAAAATCCCAGATATACAAGTTGTGAGACCTCTGGAGGACACCATGTATGCGTCCTGTAACTTTCATCTCGGACAGCCATGGTCTTGGCGTCCAAAACAATGTCAGAACCAAACAGCCTTTTTCGCCCTCGCGCTTATAGGAAAGAGAGTTGGATGAACCCTCTTTTCACTTTTTTCAGATGACTCAGACTTCAATTGAAATTTCAGTAACCCGTGATGTCACTAGGCAGCTTTACCACGCCATTTGTAAGCTCCCTCCCGAAATCACTATTCGAAACCGTTATCGTGACGTAAAATAAATACATTTATAGAAAGAACACCTTCCTAATTTTTTGCATACTTCTTAACAATGAGCCCAGTATTTCTTTAAAGAAATAAAAATTCAAAAAAATTTGGTCCCAAAGTCCAAAAAATACAAATGAAAGAAAACTCGATATGTCATATATCAAAAATAGCGTATTTTTCGAAATTTCAAAAATACATATTAATCTCTGTTTCATTGCAAGTTCAATGTTATATAACATTTGGCATTTGAATAACCCGTCTTAGAGTTACAGCCCGCCAAACTTAGCGCTGCAAAGCAAGATCCAAAAAATGTTATACACCATAACTCAAAAAATACTTATCTGATAAGCCTGAAATTGTTACAGGTGGATTCAGAGCCCCTGATTACCCCTGAGACCAATTCTCGTCAAATTCCGAGAGATGAGGGTGTCATATTGGAAAAAAGTGGTACGATCTATCGTGGAATGCCCCAGCTTGCAAACGCGCGGCTAATGCGAGCCGACATACGCCGAATCGCGATTTCGGCCAAACATGGTCACGGAAAAGAGGTCACAGGTCAAAGGTCATTGGGGTCAGGGTCATGAAATTTTCAGGGTAGGTGTAAAATTGATCAATGCGAGGGTACTGAAAGTTTCGTCGCGATCGGCCGCTTTTCACGCGAGTTATTCGCAAAAAAACCTTGGGGGGGGGGGGGGGTGCATCAACCCGGTCCCTGTGCCGGCGAGGGTTAACCCGGGGGCCGCTGGGGGGGGGGGCATATAGTTGCCCCCCCCTTTATGTCCGTCGCAACGCGGAGAGATAGAGAAGCGAAACTTTGCAAACATCTTATTGAATACCTAGCCGAGGTTGTTTCCAAATTTGGTGTCGAGCCCATTTGAAATGACGTCACAGTGACGTCAGAAGTCAAATTATAGATTTGCGACTCTCAGTTTCCTCACGATATATCCGATATATGAGACCGAATATAAAGGACCGATTATTGGTCAGGAACTAGTTAGAAGTGTACTTAGATGTTTTAGTATGACAGCAGGTGCTGTCTAGTTCATTTACAGTTGAGTTTCATGCTCAGTGACGTCAGAAACGGTCCATATCGGAAAACGACAAAACTTTTTGACGTCACTGTGACGTCACCTTTAGAGCTACAACCACCAAACTTTCCTCAAACATTGCCTAGGTATTCATTTGAAGCTATGCCAAATTTCAAGTTCGTACACCGTTCCGTGCTTCTATCCTCAGGATACTGAAATCTCCACGCCGCAACCCCCTTCCGGGCTGGACAGGTAACTTTATCTCATGCGGGCTGCTCCCTTGGAGCGGCACCGCTGCTCCCGAGGGAGCGCACCCCGTAGCTGGGTGCAGTGAGTGCATTGGGGCTGGGTGGCCTGTCCTCTGGACGGGCTCAGCCCCGGCTGTCGTGCTCAACCCCGAGCTCGGCCGCTCCAAACACGCCGGCCGCTGATACCAAACTGTATTTGTCTCGGGCGGCGGCCACGTCCCCCTCGCAACAGCTGACCGCGCACGGGTTACCTGCAGCTGCAGGGGCGCACTCAGGGATGCGCCGAGGGGAGAATCCATAACATTGTCTCCTCCTACCCCCTTCACGCTGTCTTCAAACCACAGCCACAATCACAACAAATTCAGGCGGCCAGATCGCTTCGCCAACAAACACATCGCATATCATCCCTTCCACAAACAAGTTCAAGTGACCAGAAAATCGTTTCACTCATTTAGGTACCTATTTGCCTAGTCAGGCGGCCAAATTGCTCATTCACCGAATGGCTAATCCGCAAACAAGTGTGTCTAGATCACAGTCTACCTACTGCAGGCTACGAATTACACTGTGCGCTCAACTACAGGTTTCACAAATTTAACATGGGTAGACCAAAGCCGACCGGTCACCGGGTCCATGTACTCGAGATGTCGCCTGCTTATCCAGCGGACAACTACAAAAATGGGTGACCAGGGTGACGCCATCTTCCTCGAAATCCCCGGGGAGAACTGCTGGTTCCTCACCCTTATCTGATCACCAGGCTTAATGGTTGGTTCTCTAACTCTGTGCCTCAGATCATACTGGGATTTCTGTCGTGCCTGAGAGGTAGATATGTTGGCTCGTGCCTTTCTCAGCGTCTCAGACAGAAGTCTCAACTTCTCTTCTAGAAAATCGTGTGAGTATGGCGATGTCGGTTGTGAAACTAAGGCATGTACGGGAGAGTTAACGTGACGCATGAAGAACAGGAAATAAGGC